TTTGGGTTTTTTTTTTTCGGTTTTTTTTTTGTTTTTTTTAATGGGCTCGCTACCTTGCCTTTCCTTTTCTCCCAGCTATTTATCATGTGGGTCCAGCTCCTGATGGTATTTACCTGAGCTTTCAGTCAGGATCCTGTTAGGGTATGAACGTGCAGTGACAGAAAGCCTTTCAAACAGTGGACTTAGGCACTGCCCAGCAGCACTGGGTGTGTTAGTAACCGAGATGAAAGGGCTGTACGTGGGGTATATTGGGTGCACCCCTGAGAGTTCTCCTTGCCCCACACACTTTCATCTCTGGGGCTCATCTCAGAGCAGCTGCATTGCCATCAGTTTGTCCCCTCCTGCTATTGCATCTCTGCATCCGCCACCATTCATCCCCTTTCTGGGCATTTGAGCTTTCAAAATCTCTACCTGGCTTCATGCTTAAGAAGACTCAAGTATTTGTCACCTGAACGGACTCCAGTAGGTGACTTTCTCCTCTCTGATATCCCACTTACTTTTTTCCAAGATTTTAAAACTATTTATCTTGGGTGTCTTCTCTTACCACTTCCTTCTCTTTCTCTCTTAACAGTTTCATTTGAGTTAACTCTAAGTGTTTAAAAAAGATAATATCACCAAGATATATTAAGCATGCATAATTTTTTATTGTTTAACTACAGATATCCCCTGGTTCTCTCCAGCCTGCTTATCAGCTTAAACATTTTTTTCCCCAGCAGGAAAAACTGGTATGAGTTTTGTTGAACTTGTGTGTTACCTTTGGGGCACCAATAGCTCTGTCTCCTATATTTAGTTCAATATCCTGGTATATAAAAAGATATTACAAAATAACAGAACTAAAATTATAATCTAGAAGTTATTACTTCCCCTTAAGGGAGTTGAAGAAAAGTAAATGATTTACTCTTTTTGCCCATTGATACCTTTTCTTATTTTCCTTGGTAGAGCCATATCTGTGGATGGAAAAAGAAGGTTCTGAGTCCTGTTAATTGCTTCTTTCCCCAGTTATTTCTGATTGGGCTGTTAGTATCAGAATAGTTCAGACAGCAACAGGGCTGGACCTACAATACATCATACATTAGTGGAATTTCAAAGCCCTGTTCAAAATAAATATAAATCCAGTGCAGATCTTATTCAAGCCTGAACTCAGGTGGAATACCCTGATTTTGCTGTGAAGTGAAACACTTTGAAGTGTTTCAGCCATCTGAAGCTCTGTTCCTACATACACACACAGACAATTTTGTTTCTAAACAGGAGCTGAGCACCTGTATGCATCAGGAAATGGAATATTCCCTGACTGCTTCATCTCTGAGGCTTGATTTTAGAAATACTGAGAACACCTATATATCATGCTGTACTCAAAATGAGTAGCATTGGCTGTATTCTCTAATGGAACCCTCTCTCCTTTGTATGCAGCAGAACTGTTAAATCTAATACCTGTTAAAGACCTAAGTAATTTTTTTTTTATTTGAGGAGATTTGAAATTGCCTCTTTGTCATCATTGAGAAAGACTTGACCACTGGTTTGGATGCTAGAAAGGAGGATAGAGATATTCTCTGCTCTTGCTGTAGAAGTTGTTCCACTGTGCTTAGAGTAAAACAACTGCAGGGATCAGAAAGAATTAGCAGTGTGGTAAGAAAGAATTATCAAGACAGCCTGTGTCAGTGGTTAAGGCAGTCACTTTAAAATCTCTTCTTCCAATCCTTCTGATGTGGATTGTATGTGCAGTAATTGTGCACAGACACCTGGAGCATGGAGCAGTCCCTGGGGAGTTCCCTGTGGCAACAGGGTCATACTCTCTGTTCCTCTCCCTGTTTCTAAGAACTGCCTGTGGTACAAAATCCTCTCCAAACAGCCCAAAGCATGACGTCCTCAGAGCTGCTGCATGAGACTACTACCAATCCATCCCTTTGTTTTGTGTGAACAAAAGCCTCCTAATCTGATTCAGGCTTTCCTAATACATAAAGAATTCTAGTAATTGATTTACTGCCATGAACACTGCAATGTAGCGTAGCCAAGCCTTACTTACATGACACAGTGCAGGTTGTGGTACAGAACAGTTTGCTCCCACAAAGCATATTACAAAAAAAATATAAATTATGTCATATTTCCATAATTTTCATTTTTATGCCAAATCAGTTAAATCATATAGGTACTTTGGGAACTAGAAAAGTGAAAAAAAATTCTTAAGTCATTTGCTGAGAATCTTTCATCATTGTCAGCAGAGAATCATATTGTGGTATCATTTATAAAGAATCACAAGTCTTAGGAAGAGGTCAAAGTCTACAAGAAAGGGAAACAGAGACAAAACAGGCTCTGAAATTTAAAGCTATAAGGTTGGTAGGGTGAGGTTTGCTTACTATGAAGACATGAACTCTTTTCCTTATCCACCACTGAAGAGACAAATTTCATACATTGGCCTTAGAAAAAAGAACTTCTGGGTATTTTCTTAAATGAAATATTTTGTTTGGCTTTGTCTGTCTCCCAGAACTGTTAGCAGTGAGCCTCCTGGAGAACAGACTGTGTGACAGCTCAAGGTTATACATCCCCAGCAGCAATTTAAGATTAGATAGTAGCTGAGCAGTAATTATTATCTTAATGAGCTTGACTCTTCTACCTGCAAATACCTGCTTTAGTCTTCTTAATAACCTTCTGGAATTAACTGGATGAAGAAGAAAGACCAAAGAAAACCATAAAATGCAAATTACTTTGGTCTATTTATTGTTTTTGAACTAATGCTTTAGAGCAACAATTTTGGAGAGCTGGTGTCTTTAGTTGCTTCCCAAATTTTCTTCAAAACTGAAAGGTGATTTTCATGTGTTACACACTCACTGTAAACAGATATGACAGGACTTAATATTAACTGATTGTCAGCAACCTCTAAGGCCTTTTTATTACTACAACACTCTGGAAATTTTCTATTAGTTTCTAAAAGACGAATGAAAATGGAATATGCTGAAAATTTTTCATTAAGAGTTTCTGCAGAATAGAAATTATTGATAATAGAAGCTTGGTAAAGTTTTCTGCTCTAAGATATTATTTTTACAGATCAAATTTTATAATACATTATATAAAAGTATAGTTTGCATTAAATTGAACCTTTCTTCTAATCTGTTTTTTTTTTTTTTTTTAATTTTTGTAACTTCAGGCTTTCTAGTCAAAATGCGTAAATGTGCAGGGTCTTTAGAACATTTAGAGTGTCACAGTATTTGGCTCATATTTTGAGTTTGTTCTCTGAGGAGATGGTTAAGTGGCATCAAACTCTAAATATATGATGATAGAGAGGCTTTTGTTACCTAGCTAGAGACAGTATGAAACCGAGGTCCTTCCCTTCCCAGCGATGTTGTGTGATTTTTATGTGCCAAGTACTATTGAAAAACATGTAACATTCCCACATGCATCTAATGAAGTTGGTTGAGTCTACTGACTGATCCTATAGACAAACTACATGGGATTTAAATTGAATATGTAATTCTTAGTCCCTGCCCCAGCCTGAGTCAGAAGGAGAACTTGGAGGGTAGAGCCTGAGGTTTTTAAGATACCTGGATAGGCTTTTAACCTCTGCTACAAAGACCAAAAATTAACTTAACTGTCAAACAAACCAAAAAAGAGAGTGTTTTTTTAAAATTATTATTCAATGGCATGTGGTCCCCCAGTAATTGACTTCTATTCCACAGCGATTTACCTTTTTTTTTTTTTTCCCTCTTTTTCAGGACACTTAGCAGACACTTATTTCTGGGACTCGTTAAAAGCCAACTGAGATTTAGATTTCAATTGTTACTTTGCTGCTCTGTCTTATCTATCCCAGAAAAAGCAATTTCTGGGATACATAGACACTGAAACATACACATATTGTTTCACCTATGAAATGAGTAAGCCTATCAGGTTCAGAGAGATGCTTAACTGCTGTCTTCTTATTTTCACATGTAGGTTTTGTATAACATCTTCATCGCCTTCACCCAGATGCATAGGTATGAAGAAATTGAATCCATCGATATCTTTGCTGGCTTTGCTCGCTTCTTCGTGGTGGGACTGGGTGGAGTCTTGTTTGGCATCGTGTTTGGATTTGTCTCAGCATTCATGACTCGTTTCACCCACAACGTGTCTTCAATTGAGCCCCTGCTGGTCTTCATGTTCAGCTACCTTTCATACTTGTCTGCTGAAACCCTTTACATCTCTGGCATTTTGGCGTGAGTATTCCTTACTTGGATGATCTCTTTGAGAAACTGGCATTCTTTTGTGGTGGCTCACTCAAGGTTGGTACAACATAGGCATTCAGTCTCTGGCTTAGAGAAGCAGTGCACAGCTTCTTAGAGGTCTGTAAAATGCTGTGGTAACTAGGAAAAGCAAAGCCACTAGTCAGCGTAGGCACAGACATACTACTGAGGAGTGTTGGCAAAAGTACTGCAAGTCGTGGGTAAAGTGGCCAGTGCTGCCACTATCTGCCTGCTATCTCTGATAAGATCAGCAGCAGGAGACAATGATTTGATAATACATCAGTTTATCTCTATTTATTTCTAAGCAGCCTCACCATCAGATTATTAGAGAGACATAAAGCAATGGGTATGTGAAACATAAGAAAGCATGACAAAGGAGGTATAACTGACACCAAAGAAGGCTTCAAGCATCATCACTTTTATACCATTTGTCTTACAAGCATTACACCAGTGTCCCCTTTCTCCCCTTTTGTGATTGGTCAGTACACCTCAGCATTCCATGTTTCTTTACCTTCAGTACTGTTCACCTGTCCTACACAGTTGTAGCCCATTAGGGAAGAGGCTCAGCCATAGCCCCATTCCCAGTCACTGCAAACTGTGTGCCTACAATTCCCCCTTTCCTTTCTTTTAAATAAATGCCATGTCTACCATCCTTCTACAGGGCCCTTGCAAACGTGGTGCAAGTATCCCTTGTGTAGATTCCACTAACTCTGGAATGCATCTGTGTAATAACCTTGATTCATTCCCCAAATCTACATTACAAATCATCAAAGTTATTATACTTATGGGATAGTAACAAGCACCATCAATGTCTTTATACATATGCCTATGGAGTTAACTTTCATACTAATGCCTATGGAATATTGACAAAGATTAAAACTGCAATTCACAAACAAAACATATAGATTTTACCAGAAAATAAACATGTTGTATTGAATAATAGAAATACTGTCTCTAGCTCCCACTGCTGCTTTAGTAAATGCTCTTTCAGTTCTTCTGTTTGGTGAAGCAATGTCTCTGCTTGCTGCTTCTCTCTCTCTTGCCTCATTCTTTTCAATGCTTCCCCCTCATGCAGTTTCATACTCGTTTTCATAAAATAAACTCCCATCCATAGCTATGAGGGCAAGGCTGTTCCCACTCTTTGGTAATTGGCACAGCTGCAATTTATCAGGAGTGAGTCTGCTTTCAGCACCATCTCTATCCATCTTCCTACAAAAGGACATCTGAGTTCTTTGTGAATATCATCTCTAACAGAATTTACTGGAATTACATTACATTTGAATAGTATCACTGGGATGGAAACTGGGCAAAAAAGAGAACATCACCTACGCATGCATACTTACAGTCACATATATGAATATTGACATTCATTTTTTTTTTGTGGTCAGGATAGCTTGATACTGCTGGGGACATGTTCCTCAGAGTATGTGATGGCGTGGGTGCCTGCTGCAGAGAGAAAGCTAATAGATTCTTGACTGGAGTAAATGCAGAAAAGGTGAGAGTTGTGAGAATGGAAGATGATGACAGCAAGAAAGGAGCTGGAAGAGAAAGGAAGGAATAGGGATGGAAGTGAGAGACTTAAGGAAAAAGCTGCTGGGAAGTGACTTTCAAGGATACCACATCAAACATCCCATCTGCAGGGTAAAGCATAAAGAGATGGAGACTTCATGTTGCTAAATGCTTCTGCTGGCTGCTGCAGGCTCAGTGCAGAGCTGGTGGGTAGCAGCAGCTTTGCATGGCCTATACTGGCTCTGAGCTTTCATGATGGATCTTGGAGGACCTCATGTTCCAGAACGTGCTTCCCTTTACAGAGGGCAAACCAGTTAAACTTAACAAATACGAGCATATGGCTGCTGATATCTGGACAGGTACATTTATTCACCTCAACTTGTGGAGCTCTGATTTCATAGAATCACAGAATGGTTTGGGTTGGAAGGGACATTTAAAGGCCATCTAGTCCAATGCCCTGGCAGTGAGCAGGGACATCTTCAGCTAGATCAGCTCGCTCAGAGCCCTGTCCAAACTGGCCTTGAAGGTTTTTACAGATGGGGCATCTGCCACTATTCTGGGCAACCCATTACAGTGCTTCACCACTCTCATTGTAAAAAAGATTTTCCTTGTATCTAGTTTAAATCTACCTAAATCTTTTCGTTTAAAACTATTATCCCCTGTCATATTGCTGTAGGTGCTACTAAAAAGTTTGTCCCCATCTTTCTTGGAGATCTCTTTTAAATGTCAAAATATTTAAGTAAGGTGTTCCTGAAACCTACTCTTCTCCAGGCTGAAGAACCCTGGGTTATTCAGCTTCAGAGCAGAATTGCCTTTATAAAAACAACCTTTGCAGGATGGCCCTGGGAAGCAGTATTTGAATATTTAAGCATGTTAAATAAGTTGTTAGACTGGATGTAGATTATCTTGAGCAATTAGACAAAGCAGATGAGTCTTGTACTATGTTTTGTATACCCAATGCATATGCTCAGATTGAGGTGACTGGCAACTTTAGTTGAGCAGGATTAGATCTACTGTGCAGGCAGCAGTAATCCCATATGGACCCTTTCCTACTTGCACTGCCCAAAATACTGCTTCTCCACCTATTGCTTGCATTAGACTACATAGCTCTTTATTTCTTTTACTTCTTATTTTCGTAGGAGTTCTGAAATTCTTAGTAATATGAGAATGTTAATGTAAGTTGGATTTATTATTCTTACTGCTTCATTAAGGAAATTATTGCTTGTTTTAGAGATGGGAACTTATTGTCACCTTTCTGAATTATTGAGGATTCATTCATTTTTCACTTGGATCATGAAAGTCTATTATGTATGTGTATCTGAAAGACAACAGTATTAATCATTAATGCCTAATGGCCTTGTCTTGGAGTGTCCTTGGACATGCTAAATGACTCAGCTCCACCAGGATACCCTTGAGATTTCTTCAGAGGAAATTAAATGAACTGAAACTAGAGGACGGTTATTTAATGAACAGTCATCACTCTCTGAATTCACAAGTTTGGAAAAATGTCATTACAAGAAGCCCCCAGAGACTAAAATCATATCAGTAGAAACTAGATAGGTGATGGAATATGTTAGAAGCACAGCACTCAATCTGTGTATTACCCGTGGAAAATGTAGAGTGGAACAGGGAATCCCCTTCAGTAGGGCTGATCAAAGGCTGCTGCTCCATGTGATTGTCACCAGTGTCTGTGCTGAGTGGGTGCTGATGCCTCTGATGCAGGCTCTAGTATTCATAAAAAGTGAAGAAGTGGAAAAGAAAACACCCCTTTGCTTCTTTAGGCACATTCCCCACACCCTAAGTAACTAAAGGGAGAAGGACACCTCTGTAGGATAACCGAATTTTCTCCTGCTGTGCCACAATGGGCTACCGTGGTTGCAGAGTCCTGAAGCTTGCCCTGGCACTGCTGATCTGCCAGGGAGCCATGGGAGCTATGGCATAGGACTGCCATAATCTGCCACTGCAGCCTCAAGGGAGAATGTCACCAAGAGGCAGGTTATGTCTCTCTAGCTGATCCACTTGTAGGCTGGTACAAAACCGACCTGCCTGCTGTTTGAGACAAATATTTGGTGCTTGGTGGCTCCATGTTAGGCATTCAGGATAAAATGGACTTTGAACTGGTATGTGATACCCTCACTTCCTTGTCAGAAAGGCTGACTAGCTTGCTTCCTTTATCCTGTAAAACAGATTTGTTTACAAACCTTAATGAAGATGCTTTTCTATCTAAAGTAGCTAATGTTACTGAAGAAACAAAATGCTTCTTGTTATGATGGAGGTCAGAATCTGGTGATGGAGAGTGGAGGTAATGATGGCTGATGGTGCCCTTAACTGAAAAGAAGTACAGGTTGTAGCTGATCTCTGATGTTTTGCTTGATATAGGATGACAGCATGTGCGGTGACGATGAAAAAATACGTGGAGGAGAATGTTTCCCAGAATTCTTATACTACAATAAAATATTTCATGAAGATGCTAAGCAGCATCAGTGAGACCCTGATTTTTGTGTTCATGGGAGTGTCTACAGTGGGGAAAAACCACGAATGGAACTGGGCCTTCATTTGCTTCACTCTGCTCTTCTGCCTCATTTGGCGGACACTGAGTAAGTCAGCTTTTGCAGACGATCTTCTCTGCACCTCTGAGAAAAACTCTGGTAAAAAGCTGTTAGAAAAGTCTGTGGAGAATGGCACAATTGGTTTAACAACAAATTTACTGGGTTTATATTAGTGACAAGCAAATTTCAGAAATCTACACACAGAGAAAAAGGGGAAAAAGCCCCACAGAAATCTGAATGCCAATCTCCAAGCATAGACTTTATGTTTAGGTGAAAATGGAATTTTTTAAAGCAAAATTAAAGTATTTTCATCATTATGCTTATAGAGATGTTTATATCTTAATTTATTATATGTTCCTTGGGTAAGTGGACCTCGTAATAATTTCACCACACACTGTCATTAACTTACAAATTAGATAATGTATATCATCACACTTCCAGTGCTATAACACTACAGGTCCTGGGCCAGGAGAGCTGGAGGCATAGAAAAAGAAGGAAGGTGAAAATTAGCACTGATAGATAACTGAACAAAGACTTATACCCCATGTGGGCTGATAGCACTATGCTACAAGTCAGGTCTAAAGTTTCAAACTGCTAAAAAGTAGTGCCCATATTAAATTACTCCATTTTTGCACATGGTTTTTTCCATTCCTGCAGAGGTCTATAATTCCCTGACCTGTGAGACTGGGATTCCTTTAGCATGGGCAGGGCAGTTTATAGATAATGTCAGACAAACTGTGGGACACAACTTCTTATCTTCTCCTAATGTCCAGGATTGGTTGAAAGGAATGCTGAAAAGAGGAAAGGAGTAAGAAGGCTGGTGGTTGGTGTTCTGGAGATGGTGTCTAAAAGAAAGTAATTACATATTTTCTTGCTATATCTGGACCAAGTGTGGCCTCTAAATTTTTAAAGGCTTGCTGTCCATTTCAAAACATTCTTCCAGTTAAGACAGAAAGAGTGCTCTCCTTATATAAAAGCTGTTTTCCAGCCACATGTCCATCCTTCTCTCAGACACCAAGGGGAGTGCTAGAGCTTTCCAGAGGAAAGCCAAAAATATTTTCTGCTGAATTTGTGTGTTGGAGTCAGTAAGTCAGGAGTCTCTCTGATTTCTTCAGAGAGAAGTCAGAGTGCAGGGATTGAATTAAAGTCTTTGGATAGAATAAGTAAGTGAATAAATAGAGTAAACAAGTAAGTAAGTAAATGGAATAAGTTTTAAGCGCTTTTAGTAAGTAAAAGGTCTTAGATGCCAGAGAAGTAGTACATGTTCTAGTAAAGGCTGAAAAACATACCAGTGTTTTCTTAAAGGCTCCAAGAACCTAGCTTCAGACGTAATAAAGTTAAAAATATTGCTTGCATTTTTCAGTTAGAACAAAATAGGCCATGCACGTAGTCTATACCTAAGCTGGCGTGCTAAAAAACGAAAATTCTAATAGGTTAAGAAGTAGTGGTCCGAGTTTATGTCTTAGCTAGTTGAAAAGTTTCTATAAAAGAACATGCATCAGGAATAGCTGGTGCTCTATGCCATGGCTTTATTCTATGTGTATTTTGCCACTGCAGTTTTGCCATTGCTTTATACCATTGCTTTGCTTTGTTTTTGCCTTTGAAACTAATGTGCTTCTGCAATAAATAAATTTATAGCAACTATTAACTTGCTTGGCTTTTTAAAGAAGAATAAGCCCGACAGTGTGGGTGCCCTAAAGGCACCCGAAGGTTTGCCTAAACCTCACAGTTGTGTATTAAAATGATATCATCATTTTGTCTGAAGCTTGAATGAAGAGGAGTGGCCTGAGGGTGATAGCTCACACAGGCTGTTTCAGTCTGAGTACCTAATGTCTAGCATAGTTATAAGCAGCCAGAAAAGGTCTTGCATTAAGTGGGATCCAGCAGCCTACATAAGAGGATACTGCTTCTGGCTTTACCTATAACAATCGGAGTGTCAGTGACAGCTATGCAAAATAACATCAGTAATTATCAGCATTTGTCAGCTTTTATGTCAGTAATTTATTGGTTTCCACATAGTACTTATTTCTTATGGAAGATGAAGAAGATTGACTAAATCAAACAAATTGCTAAAAGTACTCTATAAAGAAAAGTTGCAGTCCTTACATAGCCATAGATTCTTATTAATTTTAAATTTTATTAAAAATAAAATGAAATTTGAGAAATAAACAAAGAATTAGAGACACAATAAGCTTGAGGATTAAAAATTAAAATGCTATTACTCTTTGTCTTTCAGTGAACCTGTCCACAGGACTTGTTGATAAAGCACTGTTCAAACACTTTAGGAAGATACTGTGTGGAGAGCAGGAAACATTGTAAGGGAAGGCACAGGGAAAACTCTCACCCAGTTGTTTTTCTTTTCTCCAGAACACTTTGGAGAAAATTATGCAACATAAATATAGGCAGTAAATATTTTCCCATAATCTCTCTCCTAAACTGTGTTAGTGAATTTAAATCCTGAAGCCATTAGGAACCACAGTATTTTATAGGAGATATTTCACACAAGCCAAGTTTAACAGTTGGTCAAAGAGAAGCTACAAGAAACAAAAACTGAAAAAACGCAGGGTGTCAACAGTTCCCCAAGCCAAGACATTGTTTTTCTTTTAATATTTAATATTTTCTTTTTCTCCTTGATTAATAATAACTGGATTTTTTCCCCCTTCCTAGGTGTATTTGCTCTCTTCTACATCAGTAACAAGTTCCGAACATATCCTTTCACCTTCAAAGACCAACTCATTATTTCTTACAGTGGCCTCCGAGGAGCCAGCAGCTTTTCTCTTGCATTCTTGCTTCCAAGGAATCTTTTCCCCAGGAAAAATTTATTCATCACTGCCACTCTTGTGGTTATATATTTCACTGTGTTCATCCAAGTACGTATATTTCTTAATGGATACTTTCATGTAATAGAAATTACTGAAAGCTTCATAGTGAAAATTGCATTGAATTCACTCTTAGACTAGGACAAGTTATTGCATTTTGGGGCCAGATTTAGCACTGCACTGTGTAATTAGCCTTTTTAGGGCTTTTAGATAATACAAAAATTCTATATTGAAAACATGTCTCTTCTAAAATATTCAGGGGAGAGGGCACTTGGTGTCCAAATTTCCACATGTATTTCCTGGCATTTCCAATTTAAGAAGTATTTTAACTTTACATTTCAGCTCTCATTCGTTTGTTATTGGTGATATATCTCAATCTGACCAAAAAACAGTATGTCTGTTCTGTGACAGATTTTGAATTTTATACTTTTATCTTTGTCTGTCTTGGAGACCAAATGCAAATATTTTGAAATCCTTTGTAAAGGAATTAAAAAAAAAATGAAGTGAATAAGTCACATTTGTAAGTATAGGTGTCTACTTTAGATATTTGAGTTATTCCACCTGGCTTACTGTTGTACCAGGAAGAACTGAAACTTATAGAGAACTTGCATCCCATATTTTGCAGTTTCCAATACCAAGATCTCAGATCCTCTAGGGTGCCAATGGGGCACTATGCACTTGTGATAAATAAGGCACTTACATTCCACCAGAATGTTTCCGAAAAAAACAGTTTGTTTCTATTTCCCCTTTTAAAATGGTTTTCTGTAGCAATGCAGGAAAGAAAAGGGAAAAAACTGAAAGCCATTTCTAAGTGAAAAACCCCTGGAATGTTTAATCCTGAAAACGTTGAAGTAAATGGTTTCAAGATTTCAAGATAATATGGAAAACATTTTCATAAAGACAATATTTTCTTTCAAATTACTCCTCTTTTGAAGATGATTGACAATGAGTCAGTTACTTTACATAATTAGAATACACCAATAAATAGAATCTCACTTTAAAGACCCTCTTTAAAAAGTTTTTGATTTTTAATTCTCTTCTGTAGCTTTCCATACAAATAATGGTTAATTTCTGTACTATGGCACAGCTTTCCTAACTGATTAAAATTATTCCCTTTGGCTTTCTTTCTATTTTTGCCTAAAAGATAATTAACAATTCAACTCATCTTTCTAAATGCAGGGAATCACAATTGGACCATTGGTCAGATATCTGGATGTTAAAAAGACGAACAAAAAGGAATCTATCAATGAAGAAATACATGTGCGAGTAAGTTTTTTACATCAGAAACTGGTATCCCAAAAAAGAAAAGAACAGGTATTCTAAAAGAGCTGAAAGAGGGAGGCACTTGGAAACCTGGCATTCAGTGGATTTGGATGCTCAATGCTTTTAAGAATGTGTGGAGGTAACCCTAGGCATAATTTTCTAAGATATTGCATCTCATTTATATTCATATTTACTACGATGTTAGGCTTCCATCCATGGTGTAGTAGGTCCCTTATTTATTGGTACTTTGACCATGGGAGGACAGAAACAGAAAAACAAAAAGCACTCACCATCCTTGCCAGCTGGATTAGTCAAAAACATTTGTTGCTGTCTTTTGACCAGTTTTAGACACTGAAGCCTTAAAAGTCTTTAATCCAGTTTTATTGAACTGAACGGAACCATTGAACTGCAAACTTAGTTTCAAATTATTCTGAGTAGTGATCTTTTCTCCTCTCAAACATTTACTTCAGTTCCCTAATTACTATTATATAAAATAACAGGAAGTTACTCAATCTGATTTATTCTAGAAAAGGTAGGTACATTCTTTCATTTTGAAATTAACAGAAACACTGTGCCTTAAAATGAGACACAGGCTGCCACAGTGGCATCTTTGCCTTGATTTTTAGAGAAATGTACGTGCTTCAATAAAAAAATAAATCTCAAAATCATATCAACAAGTGCATATTTGTGGTAATATTCTTTTTTTCATAATGGCCACTTAAAATGTTTCCATGTTTTTTTTTTCTGTAGTTGATGGATCACTTGAAGGCTGGTCTTGAAGACATATGTGGACATTGGAGTCATTATCAGCTGAGAGATAAGTAAGTGTCTCATATTGCAGTCTAAGATAATAAAATAACCTATTTATAATGTAAAATATGGTAGGTAAATAGAATAGGAAATTAAAATGCTGGGGTCATATGCTGTATCTCTTTTTAGAAACTGAACTCCTGAGTAACTATTAACTCTTGAGAGTGCAATGCTCATACGTTGCCTGCTGAATTGGATCTGCTCAAGCAGAAAATAAGCCTTCAGAAAGAAAAACATAGCATGGGAACTCATGCTGTAGACTTTAGCCTGTGCATAGCCCTTGGTATAAATCTAAGATCCCAGAAAATGCTTTTTTAACTCTGGATTTAGAATGTAAGCTACACATGGTGTCAGTGCTTCACTGACTTTTGCTGTGAGCCTCCACAGCAAATAGGATCTCCTGGTAGTAGGGAACTACTAATATTAGTCACCTGTTCTTACAGGTCTTTGCATTCAGTAATATCTAAAATAAATAAGAGTACTGAAGGGAATGTTTGAATTTAAGTAGCCAGTAGCATAAGCAGATACTCTCAACCTAGTCTTTACTCGGAAATGCAGAGCCTGCATTGTCCCTTCCATAAGCAGGATGAGGTGGCTTTGTGAAGCTTTGTGGCTCCTCCAGGCTCTTCCCAGAAGAGATGGATCTGCTGTTGCCTTTACCTTTTCCCTAAGGGAGTCCTGTGGACATGTTGCCCACCACCACAGCATGTGAAGGGAAGTAGGGAAAAGACTGATTTTTCTTTACCTCAAACATCTTATTATGATGCCGTGGGCTAAAAGCTATCCCTAGTTTTGCCTAGGCTTCTGTGATGGAATCCTGTCTGACCTTTCAGTATTGGGCTCCAGTAATCCAGCCAAGGGTGTGGCAACTCCTTTCATGACTGGGCTTCTCCCTATGAAAACCAGAAATTCGGAGTGGGAAGAGAATGACTAGTTTGCATCCAATTCTTGTCCCAATGGGGAGTGATAATATAATATACTAGGGCATATCCAGAAACTAAAATGTCCTCTTGGCTCTGAGTACAGAGACAGCTTTAGGACATCCATCTGCTGGGACCACACCACTGGCTGTGCAGTCAATGAAGTGAACAAATCTCTGTCGGAGCAGTAAATCCATTGAAATAGCTGCATTTACACATATCTGCAAGTAAATGCTACCCCTTTGTCTCACATCTACCTGATAGCTCTGAAAAGAGAATTTGCCCAAACTAGCCATAAATGCAGCATTTTAGTTCATGGACAGATTCAAAAAACACACTGTATCTGAAGACATTTAATATAAGAAGATTTATTTAAAAGTATTCCCCAAACTTTTGTATTCAATTTTAAAGTTGTGTATCAGAATTAATTACCTAAGCAATGACAATCCAGGAGGCTTTCTGTTACACAGAAAAACATAAAGAGCTCTAATCCCTGTGCAAACATTTGTCTACCTTCCTCTGCTATTAATGAATAAAAAATGGCCTTGCTAAGAAAAAAAGATACAAATCCTGTAGTGCTTTTCCCAGCATCGTGGAGCACCTTACCTTGCTGTGGTAAACTGTTCCTTTGAAAGAAACAGAACTGTTGCTCTGCTGAAGATCTGCTGTTGTTCTACTAAATGTCTGCCTGAAATCATGTACCTGTTCCAAGGCACCCACACACATTCACATTCAAATTATGCCACACATTAGCGATATTTTACAATCTGCAGCATGCAAGCACATAGTATTTTGGGGTCCTTTCAATTTCTCTGTTATTCAGAATACAAAGAAATGTATTTTCTCTGCTCTAATTGTCAGGATTCAAAATTATCAGCAATGTAATGGGCCCTAACTACTGTAACTGCTGGGCCACTTAGAGCCTCATTGGTGGCTGGCTGAATAGGCCAGGATTACAGTAAGAGCAGCTGCTGCTGTTATGCCCTACTATAATGCAACATTTGTACAAAAGCATGGAGACTGGCCGTATTCTTTTCTGACAAATGTGGCAGTGTAATATGCAAACATACAGCAGCCCTCTTTTTTGCTCTGATTGCAGCTTGTTTCTTTCTTTTGTTTAGCGGGCTCTGCAATCTCTGTGGACCAGCAGACTATGCCAAATATCCCCCTAAAGGTCTCTGCTCACCAGGCCTTCAGGAGTCCACAGGTGCCTCTAATTTGCATTCAGTTTCCACCACTGAATTGTAGATATATGCATTTGAATGAAGATCAGCTTGTACTACAGAAATGAAAACATATTTCCTTTTCTACACTTCGATTTTGCTATCTCTTTTGCAGATTCAAGAAGTTTGACAATAACTATTTGAAGAAAATTTTAATTCGGGAACACCAGCCGAAATCCAGCCTTGTGTCATTGTACAAAAAGATGGAGATAAAATTGGCCATCGAGATGGCTGAGAGTGGCATGAAAATTTCCAAATCATCCACTACTTCTTTACAGTGAGTACCAACCTCCTGACCCTTTGCAGAGTAGGGACAGGAGGACAGGGACAAAAATAAGGAAGTATCCAAAGTATTCATTACTTAATTGAAATGTAATAAAAAAGAAGACAGCTTTGAAAAGAGAAGGTGCAATTTGGCATTAATCATATTTACACTTTGCTCAGAGAGTGAAAATTAAAATCATGGTCATTTTGTCTGTTTTTTTCCATGATGAGTAGTCCTGAAGAGGGATCATGAGTCAGGTACAGAAGCCACTCTGATTGCTTTAAATCACAGTAGTGGCTCAAGACAGATACACTTATCACTTTCCTGGCCAGTGGGTTTTGTTAATCCCTGTGAAGTGCTGAGAGACCTGCAGGATGGCTTAGAATACAGGTCCTGACTCCACTATCCCAATCATGCCTTTTTGCTGAGAGCAGATTTCTTTGTAGCATTTTCAATTTTTGCTGCTCCAGTTTGCGATCCCTCAAACCATCTTGCCATATTTTGGTATTTCCAAGACAAATGAATTTGCCCAATTAAACATTGAGAGCAACCTGCCAAGAAGGACTTGAGGATACTTGTAGTGGAAATGCTGGACATGAACTGTTGGTGTGCACTCGGAGCCCAGAAAGACAACCATATCCTGCATCAATAGTAACATGGCCAGCAGCTGTGGGAGGGGATTCTCCCTGGCTCCTCTGTCCTTGTGAGACCCTACACTGCTCTGTCCATCTCTGGGGTCCTCAGTGCAGGAAGGACGTGGACCTGTTAGAGCGGGTCCAGAGGAGTGCCACAAACATGATCAGAAGGCTGAAGCATCTCTCCTTGGAGACAGAGAAGGCTCTGGGAACATTTCTTTGCAGCTTTTCAGTATTAAAGAGGGCTTACAAGAAAGATGGGGACAGACTTTTTAGTAGGATTGTAGCAGCAGGACTAGGAGAAGATAGATTCAAACTAGGTACGAGAACTTTTTTATGACAAGGGTGATGAAACTCTGGAACAGATTGCTTTGGCAGGTAGCAGATGCCTCATCCCAAGAAACGTTCAAAGTTGTGTGTGATGAGGCTCTGCACAACCTGACAGAGTTGAGGATGTCCCTTGCTCATTGTGGGGGATTTGGAACCAGATGCAAGCCATTCTATGATTCTATCAAACAGTAATGCAACTTGGCATCAGAGACCAGGGGACAAAACAGATGGGATCTCTGAAGGGAACTACCCTCTAGGAGAAAAGTGCACAAATCTTCCATCCTGCATACTGTAATTGATAGGCATGTATTTATCCTTGCCTTGCAAAACACAGTCCAGAACACAGGTATTGCTGCAGGCACTTACCTCCATAATTTCTTCCCTGGGTTCTTGCTGACCACTGTTGCTGCTATTGTCTGCTCTTTCCTGTTGCATCCTTAAACTGCTCTCCATTTTGCAGCAGCCTCTGGTAGGGTCCAGCATATTACCTTTTTTGTGTGATGATCTCTACCAATAACAGAAAATCCAAATATCAACTGGATATTAAATTAAAATCTTTCTTGAAACTCTGGCTTAATCGTGTCAAGATTTATCTGCTTTCTTGTACTGATGTCAGCATGCCGTGTAAGACCTAGCCCATTTCTCTCGAAATTATTCTTTGCTGACCGGATGATATTAAAAAAGACTGCATGTGTATCAGGCTCCTTTCTGTCTGTTGTAATCCCTTAACCATTCTGAGAGGAGAAAATGTGCAAGGTTATTAGACAATCCATGGCAAGAAACCACATCTCTCTTCTTTTCCTGAGGGAATGAGAAAAAAAGACAAATCGCTCCAGCGTAGTTCAGAAATTTTCTCTGGAGCTGAGAATTTAGATTGAAAAATATTCTTTAATAAACAGCTGATATGATGGACTAATTTTTGCTCTCTCTACTCTGGCTATAATTGAATTTTACTGTGCATCATCCTCTGATGAGAAAGCCTTTTTAAAAATGAAGTGTCAACTTCAGAAAAACAGCCTGCAGCTCAAAAACCATTCTGATCTTGCAGGCGGTGAGAGTGTTCTAGGAAAATACACAATTTCCCACCTTTGTTCATTGGTAAGTGCCTGCTGTTGAGCACTGCAAGAGACAGGATATTGAGCTAGTTTGTGGATCTTTGGTCTGAGCCAATACAGCAGTTCTTGTTGTCTTTCCACACAGCAATTAAATGAACCTGTGTAAACCTTCTAAATATATTTCTAAATTGTCTGATTGCTGTTAATGGTTCAGTGTGTACCCGAAGCCCCTGTCTACAGTGAAGATACAAAACTCTGGCCATGAACAATTTTATAGCATGTGAATCATTATTAGCAGTGCCAGAGTAGTGAGAAAATTCTTACTCACACTTCTGATCAGTTTTTGCAGTCTTTATGCACACAAGGAGATTTACTTTATATGAATCAAAGCAGATCTCCAATGCTGTGAATTAGAGAATTACATTCATGATGGTGTGATTCCTGCAGGTGGAGTGGGTGTCGAATTTACAGTAAGTATTTCCAGTGTGGAGTGAAAAAAATTGCCCATGGATTGTGCAACAAAGAATCCACATTAGAATGAAAGCAGAGCATTTGGTTATGATATTTTCGAGAATATAAGCCTTATAAATATGGATGGAAACGGCAGAAGTGGAATCCAGGAGATATTACCAAAACTGTGGGTTTATGGCTGTTTTTTTTTGTAGGAAATACAACCATTAGAAAGATGGTTTGATACTGAGTTTACTTAATGCTGGCTTCATATTGTTGCAATATTTACTTTGGAAAATCTTAGAATATATCAATACAGTACAGGTCAGAACCAACTGTTGTGTTGTCATTTGTGGTGGTACAGTCCTGAGAAAGTTGTGCCAAATAATGTTATTCCTTCACAGGATGAGTGAAGATTATTGGAGAGTTTAAAAAGTTCAAATCTTTAGATATAATATAAAAGAAAATATTAAACAGATTGTGCAAGTATCAATGTATCAAGTATCAACCATCTCCAGATCTAAGGAAGAAAGAAAATGTCATGGCAGTCATTACAGAGAGACAGTTTTCATGGCACATTATAATATAACTTTTTTTTTCACAAATACATATCCTGTGCTGTTTTTTGTTGTAACATGTTGGAAGATTCAATAAGAACAAAGGAATTGTTTCAATAAGGATTACTTTATGGGTTTGGTAACATACTGAACATGTTTGGGTTTTTTTGAAAGCCCTTTCTTAATGTATTGCAAAATGTAAAAGCAATCTGTTCCTTATTACCATATGCATGCATTGTTATCAGTTGGGTAGGGTTATTTCCAATCCCATTAAAAGAATGACGGTTTTTCATTTGTACTTCAGAACAATATAGATTATCTTCATGCTATTTTTTCTTTTGCTACTCCAGCTCAACTGAAACTCAAGGAGTTTTATTTATTCTATTTAAATTTACTTAAGAGCAAAATAGTAAGATTTGAAATGACTTAGAACTGGCTACTTCTGTGCTGGCATGTGGAGAAAGTCAGGTTTGCAGCTGGAAAAGTAAAGAGATAATCTGATAATGTCACCAGTGGAGTTTAGCTTTTTCCCTGTTTAGATGCTTTCCCCAATTTAGCTATAAAGACCCTGTGGACACATTCAGTGAAGCACAAAGCAGGGAGGTAGATGTTCCCTGTGATATAAAAACCACCTGCAGCAACTATTCCTGTTCCATTTGCATTACACAAATGAGCCAAGCCTGTGTTTTAAAGACCAATACTTGTTGACCGTCCCCAGGGCTTGTGTTTGTGTATATTTTCCAGGTGTACCTAGGTCTCCCTATTGTCCAAAGGGACATCAGACTGGGGCTGCTGACAGAAAGGAGTCTGGTTTCCCTGCTGTGGAGGGCAGCACACATGGGCTGTGCCCCAGTCTGAGACACACCACACCCAGTAGGGAGTAAAGGTGCAGTGCACCCAAGCCTGGAAAATTGGTAGCATCCCCAGATCCTCTCAGTGTATCTCTGAAAACTGAAAGCAAGTGAAAAAGGAACCAACCAACCAATGCACCCACCCTCTCAGTCAGCCTGGAACTGGGTGATGGTGAAGGTCTTTTTTTTTTCCTTGATGGTAATAACTAACTTAGTTGTTATTGCAATTACTGAGAATTGATGAATGTCAAACATTTGTTGGGAAGGATTGATCAGGGACAAGATAAGATTTCTGGTCAAATCCAGAAAGGCAGTCCTTTTCTGTCACACTGACTTGCCAGCAGACTCATGCTTCTGTTGCTTATCCCAGTCCTAGCTCTAAAACTACACCTTAACCTGTTCTTAATTTCTCTGTTTGTCTTTGTTTCACAGAAAAAAAGTCAGATCTCTGTTTTAGTTTGATAGCAGAATGAAAACACATTCTAAAACCTTGAAATATATCAGGAATAAATTCCTATATTCCAGGGGCTTTGGACAGGGGCCAGGGCACCAGGGACCACTGTCTACTTAATGATAAGAGGCAGTAAAATATAGAATCCAGGCAGTTCATGTTGGTCCTACAAGTTTTCAAGATGTTCATGGTAGATTAGAGAACAAAACAGCAGTAATATTGTTAAACTAGATGCAAATCCCAACCTTTTTCCTATGTTTACATCATAATCACAGTTTAGTTTGAATCCATCTTCCTTTGCCATTAAAATTTTTAAATTTATTTTAGAGGAAGTGTGAGATAGATGCACACAAAACTTTGTCAATACTGTACATTGATCATCATTGATTTTTTAATTGCGCGATTTACAGACAACACTTTAAGGACATCACTTAGCTGAAAAACACCACTTGCAATCACTTTTTTTTTTTTTAAGGCGAGAAAGGAAAAAATCAGAAACAACAAGATGAACTCAGACTGATTCATCCTGGATGACCACTATCTATTTCCCTTTCTTTTCCTGGGAATTCATCTGAACACTAACTCTCACAGTGATGGACTGATTTAGAGAAACCTGATAACATTTCACAGCAGCCTTTCTCTACTGTTTTGCTAGTGAAAAAGCCAGGCAGCTACAAGTGACTGTGGGCTTGTCAAAGATTTTAAAGACACAAAGATGACTATCTTTTAGGTGGTTCTTTCATTTCAAATGGAGAAACAGGTTCAGTAGCAAGGAAACTCTGTACGTTCTCCTCACCACAGGGCAAGTCTCTCAGACTTTGTAATTGACAAACTCTTTTGTCCTTAAGGATTTTCTTCACTTTCTCAAAGTACTAAAAACCAGTAGGGGGCAAGGCCCAGAGTGCTAGACGATGCTGAGGTCTTTATTCAGACAGAGGAGGAAACTTGGAGTGCTTTCCTGAGCTGGTTATGGCCTAATCTAATCCTTAAAAAGGAACTTTCTTATGGAGGTTTAAGAAAAAAGAATTTCTGCTGCCGGCTCTATGAGGGCTTAGGGCCCAATTTGACTATTCATTATATGGATAAAACCAATAAAAGAGCAAAATTTCACCTTTTTTATTCATCTTTGGATGATTTCCAGGTGTTGCTGGCCACTGAAAGGTGTTACATAGCCTTTTGTTCTATCACTAAAAATAGACCATGCATGATTTCATGGGATTAGTGTTTAATCAGCTCATTAATATCATATTTAATTTCCCCTTTTATGTACAGGAGCGGCAGGAACCAGCGCGCACACAGGCTGTCCCCGGCAGAAGTGGAGTCCATGAGAGATGTGCTGGCACACAACCTGTACCAAGTGCGACAAAGGGTGTGTGATGAGAGCCAGCGCTCTGTTTGCCATCCCGCAGCCCTTGTTTGCTCCCGGAGCTGGGAGCCCGCAGCCGACCGGCGAGGGCAAGCAGGGAAGAACCTGGGGCTTGGGCACTGACCGGGGCCGAATGAAGGAAAGCTGGGTTGGGTTTTTTTTTTTTGTTTTTGCTCTTTTTCTATCAGCTTTTCGCCCTGACGGCGGCGCGGAAAGGCAGGAAAATCCATGAGCGAGCTGTAGAGGTCAGGCTTCCCTCGCCGCACGGCTGCCGGGCTGGGAAGCCGCTGGGATCCCGGGAGGGAGGGCAGGCTGGCAAAGGGGAGGCAGGCAGGTCCCGGGAGGGATGGCAGGCTGGCAAAGGGGAGGCAGGAAGGTCCCGGGAGGGATGGCAGGCTGGCAAAGGGGAGGCAGGAAGGTCCCGGGAGGGAGGGCAGCCTGGCAAAGGGGAGGCAGGAAGGTCCCGGGAGGGATGGCAGCCTGGCAAAGGGGAGGCAGACAGGCTGGCAGGGCTGGCAGGGTTCTCCCTGCAGCCAAACTCGGCTGCGGGGGCGGGCGGGCAGCGCCCGCAAACACCGCACAGCCCTGCGTGGGATCGGCATCTGACCGCGCCGCTGGAGGAGAAAAACGAAGGAAAAAAAAAAATTTCCACGTCCTCCGAGCTTTCGTTTTACACATTTAAGCGGGTTTTCTTCCCTGTAAAGGTGGTGTGGTAATACCTCAGCGGGGATTTGTTTTGCAGCCCAGGGTATGGTATCTGCTCAATCCAGTCTCGGGCGCTGAATAGACAATTGAGAGCTCGCCCACAGTGGTAGAGGATACATTACAGTAACTTGAAATTAGGCTGATAAACAAGGCTAACTCATGTAACACACGTGTACTAGAAAATGCTAGGGCCTGCTCATTTAAATGTGGCATTATTAATATGTTTTTCATTCCTAACGTTGTTTGATTTGCCATAGCTAATTATCCTTATGATATTAATTTCTTATCTTACCAGCATCAATCTGCATATGTGTTTATCTCTTAGCTTACTGAAATGAACTTTTTCTCCTCAAAATCAATTACAGTAATGACTATTTGGACAGTAATTTCCTGTGTTGTATTAAGAATGGTGTGCTTTAGGAAATGAAAGATTGGAAGGAAAATAATGCCACTTCTAATACTTCTTTTCAGCTCTGTAAATCCCTTGCTTGCCAGACCAATTTTACAAGGACCCTTGTAAATGAAACTGAGATCAGATTCTACTTTTTAAGGGCTTATAAACTTCAGTGAATTTTTCTCTTTAAGGCAGACAATTATCTCCTTCATTTCACTAGATGTATGTGATAAACTAAAAAGCTTGTCTTAAATTATGCTCAGTTTTAGGGTAATATTAATATGTAGTTTGTCCAAGTATGGAAAGGAAACTCAGCTGTGCATCTCATTCTGGAGATACATTCTTTGTTCCTGAGTCCATTTGAAGCTTGCTCTAGGCTCAGTAATATTAGTACCAAAGCTCAGAGCTGAGTTAAACAATTATCTCTTTCTTGGGACCTGCCTCATATCTGTAGCTCCCAACTACAGTTGATGAGATAAGAGATGACAAAGACAGGACAAGCTGAGAGATGATAACAGCCTTCCTAGGCAAGTATATCTGCACTTTGAGCAGGCATGAGTCTATCAAAAATGGCACCAAAATGCAGCCCTTGAGGTCTGAGACTCGCAGCTGTGTTCAGGCTTCCTCCCATCTTGCTCTGCAGCAATGAGATTTGTGCATGGCTGCATTTTTCTGTGTGATACCAGAGAGATCTGTGTTGGGTCGGTGACCGAGCTGAGGCAGATGTCCCCTTGGCCCTGTGATTGATCAGTCTGATTAACATTGCAAATGCAACAAAAATGAGCTGGCTGCAATTTCTGTTTCAGGCACCAGCATACAACCGGCACAATCTTCCTACTAACACAAGTGAGAAACAAGCGCAAGAAATCCTCATCCGTCGGGAGCACAGCCTGAGGCAAAGCTGCAGGAAGGGAAACAGCTTGCCTTGGGGTAGACCGGTACCTGTTATCCATCTACTATTTATGCAGAAATGCCTCTGCCTCTCTGTAAATATGGAAAGACACTAGTTTTAATGTGCTCTTCGCTGTAATTAAAATGGATATTTTCCCGGTGTGCTCATGCAGCACTTAAGCAGAAAGAGCTTCACTTAGCATGTGAGCAGCAAAGTTTTCGTGTCCAATCTCTATATATTGGTCAGAAATCAGCTGCTGTGGTTCTATGTAGTAAAATAATATAACTTGCATTGATTTTTGCATGTGCAAAGTATAGTGTAAAAAACCAAAAAGCCTGATGCAAAGCATCTGGCACGTTGATGATTTGGGCTCTCAATCTCTAAGAGATTTGTCTGACCAAAGGTAGGCATTGAACAGCACAGACATTTATAGCTGAGATAATAATGGTTAAGGAAGAGAAAGAAGTTCTTGTTGGATAGGTTAGTTGTATTCAAAATTTTTACCTGAAATAAGAAATGTAAATCTTAGAAAAACACGTTTTCCACTGGTGGCAGTAAAAAGCCCTTTGGCTGTTATATCACACAGACATTTTCACTGGAGCTGATGTTGAATTCACCCATCCAAACCAAGCATTGATCTTATTCATACCTCTCAAAATTTGCCTGTAAAGGTGCAGCATATTGCCATTCCTCTTTACTGTTTCACCAAGTTAAGTGCCAAGTGGAGGCAATCACAGGCACTGGACACACTTCTGTCTCCTACACAGGTGAACACCATGGAAGTGCGCTACCTCTCCTTGCCTCAGGGTCCACACCAGCCCACCAGAAGAAAGGCCAGGCATGTTACTTTTACAGGTAATGGAAGTGCTTCACTCTGTTTCCTACTTCAGTAGCGAGAGAAACTTGGCCAGTTGTTTGGTGGATTTAACAGTACTACATGCACACTCCCATGGAAGTCAGCGGCGTCTTTAAATGAACTACACCCTTCTCTCCTTTCTGTTTTATCGGTGTTGTTTATATGATCATTACTGCACCAGTTTCTGTTTTGTTCCACCACTTCCTGCTTTTTTCTTTTTCCCTCTTGAACAAATATTCCTGTTATCCCTGCAGTTATACCTTGCCAAGATCAAGAATACAAATCATCTGTTCCCTGCAGCCCCACAGAGCAGTATGCAAAATTATTATGACTCACTGCACCTGTAGCCCAGTTCAGGTGAGGCTGATGGAGCTCCATGGCCCTAGGTCCTGCAGGTACCGAGATTGATCAGGAATTCCCAACAGGCAGTCCTACACCAAAATTCATGCATGTGTACACACAGCCAGGCAGAGAGCAGCACAGACATGGCACAGGGCTCACACTAATGCAAACAGCACCAGTGACCTCATCCTTGTCCCCTCTCTGACTGATGAGTCTGTTAGACTGTTAGTGAAAAATTATAAATGCATACATGATATCTGAATCTTCAGTAGCTGGCCTGAGATCCATGCTCTGCTCAGTAGCTGGCCCTGGACCTTCCATCTGCCCGTTTGGTGGCACTTGGGCATGTAAGCCCCAGGGTACACAGACCTACACACATGCACACAGAGACATGGTCTTACACTCCACCTCATGTATTGTAGGACCCTCTGGTAGCTGGCCTTGGGCAGCCAGTCTTCCCTGGAGCAACTTCCTGGATCCCCTGCTCTCCTCCTGCCTTGCACACAGGGACACACATGCAAACCTGTCTTTTTGGTACCCAGTTCAAATTATGGCCTTGCTAGTAGCCAACCACAGATTCCATGCTCTCTTCAGTCACTGCTCTGGACCTCCTGCTCCCTCCAGTAGTCAACCTACAGACCTTCTGCCCTCCTCAGTCTTTGTTCCAGACTGATGGTTCCTCCAATAGGCAGTTCCCAAACCTCTTATCCTATTTAATGGCTACTCTGGCTTGATGATTGCCAGCAGTTTTGCACTGACAGATGCACCCTTCCAGATGCAGTCCTTCCAGCTGCTGGCACTCAGGCGTCCATACACACAAGCACACACTGTGAGGAGCTGCTGATAGAGGAACAGTCAGAAGTGTAGTCAAACGAAAAAATAAGACAGACTGTGTTGATCAAGTGCAGGACGTTACTGGACATATGTACTGACTGGCCTTTTTTATCCTCTTTTTCCTTTATTTTCCTGCACTTGCTTCTCCCTGGATTTCCCAAGTCTCTTCCTTTCACTGTCTTTGGTTCCTGCCCTAAACACTCCATTCAAAGTCCTGTATGGGCACCCACACATGATGACAGCAAAATGAAAACCCATAGGATCTACTCAGAGGAGAAAATAAATGTTACTCAAGAGGATGTTTTTGGTCCTGTTTATCAGGACATCATCACAGGAGATATGTGTCTTTCTAGAAGAGTTAAAGTATTTCACACAGCAGACTTAGACCTAAAATCACTGCAGATACTTTCAAGGAACCAAATGCTGCTGTAAGAGGTAGGCGTATTACTTTAGAGGGGAGAGAGCTAAATCCTGAAGCACTGGCTGCAAATACTTTTTTTTTTTTCCTACAGATAGGACAGAATTTAAGCCCTACCTTGTAATTTGTCCAAATAAGTAGACTTTTTGGTCCAGCCTCCATGTTAAGCCCATTGTGTGGCATTAACACTGCTTTAAGTGTCTTCAGCAGGAAAAAGCCACCCTAAAGTCCTGTCATAAATTCTTGGGATGAGATGAATTGCACTTGGAAACTGAGAAGTACTCAGTATGTAGGGAATTAGAATGACAACCTCATATATGCACATATGCATTTCTAGAGATAAATGTCATCCCTTCTCTCTATGCCTGGAAGACCTTCTAGAAAAAAAAATCTTCCAGCAAGCTTGGTTTAGGTCTTATATAAAACATGTCCAGAAACTTGAGAAACTAAAAGGTCAGAAATGACCACAAATAGATCCTTAAGTCACCTATCAGCTCTTTCTGCCACTCATATAAATGAATTATCCAGAGAGGTTGTTGTTGCCCCGACAAGATATGGACTCCCCACCCCTGAAGGTGTTGTGAGCAAGTGCATGGGGCTGGCAACCTGGTCTAGTGGAAGGTCCCCTGCTCATGGAAGAGGGACTGGAAGTAAGGGATCTTAAAGGTCCCTTTCAACCCTAACTAGTCTATGATTTTATGAATTATTTCTTTGGCGGTATATATCATTGATACTTGGTAGCAGTGATGCTCTCAAAGTAAAAGCCCTGAAAATCTGAGAAATCCTATCCTGCTTAGGGTGTAGTATGTCCATGTGGCCTATGAGCAGCAGTGCTTTACTCTGCCAACTGTGAAATAAACATTTGCTTAAAATAAATTAAAAGTTATGGATCTGCAATAATTTCTTTAATTTTGACACCGTGACCGTAGTCAATACACATGTACTTTAATTGTAGCAGAATCTGGACTAATTTTACTGCTCATAGACCTTTGTGCTTATATCCCAGAACCTCCTAGCTTAGATTGTTAGGAGATTTTCTTACATTAACTACTTTGTTACTGTGTAGTTAGACTACAAGTGGCTTTAGGAAAGTGAAAAAGTATATATATATATATATATTTAGAAAAATGAAAACGTATATAAATTCATCAGGATGAGAATGTCAGTTATTGGCCTCTTGCAGACTAATTTTTACAATGTACTTGTGGCAAAGCAAGCTGGTAGGAGCAGATCTGACACACCCAAAGTAATCAAAGCACTCCTGGTTTCAGATGAAAATGTTCTCTTCCCACTTGTTAGTCACAAGTCACTGGCAAACTTGATTTTTGATGGACCTGAGTTTTCTCCTTTGTCACATTTTTATTTTGTACCATGGGTTTAAAAATGCTTTTGAACCATAGTGCTAGGTACACTTGTGAAATTTGAGGAAAATTCAAATTACATAAGGGAACACTCTTGCATTTCACTCTTGCCCTTCACCCTTGCAGTGAAGGCGTCGGACAGGTCTGTGAGACACCAAAAGGTACGTGAATGTGCTTATCTTCTGAGGTTTCAGAGCTGAAATAAGGTAAATAAAATATTTGAAACATCAGCTTTGAAATGAAAATAAAAATTAGGGCTATTTTTAGTTCTTGACTGCTTCCTTATTCTGCAGTAAGTTAAAATGCTTCAGTTCCAGGTATTGTATTGTATTGAATATCCTTTATCTCTCCTTTCCAGTACTACAGCATTTCTCTTTTCTCTTCTTTAAAAAATTAATTATTTGTCTGTTTTTCTTCAGATCAGCATAGAAGTGGCTCTGATGCTGAGTTCCCATTAACACGGAGATCCCAGCCCCGGCTACGGCCCCGTGAAGCAAAGCAGCACCAAGAACTGATTCCAATGGCACACTTGGATAGACGAGCAGGTCCATCCAACCTGGCAGGGAGAAGGGGAAATTCAATCAGCCGTCATCGTTTCACCAGAGCAGACAATCTAGCTCCAGTGCCAAAGGCTCGGTTCACTGTCAGAGAAGTAGAGGAGTATGAGTCAGAAGAAGAGACAGAAACAATGGCACCAGCCAGGCCATTAGTTATATGAGGAGCAGAGAAGATCAGTGTTTGCATCTCTAGGGCCCCTGGTGCACTGCTTCAAAAGAAATAACAAAGCTTTTATATGAACTAAACTTTGATTTTCCTCTGGGGATCAGAGTACTTGTTCTCGTATCACTTTCAAGAGTTGTATTAAGGTACTTAGTGGCTCAGAGAAGACTCAAATTCTTATGTGCTTATATCAAGCTTTCTTTCCAACAAAACACTGCACGAAAGAGGAGAACATGATATTTGTAGGGGTTTGGACGTGGATTTAAACAGCAGTAATTGGGTGCATGCAATGCTATGGTGGAAGCTGACACTACCTTTGTTTTATATTATGGTCTGCATCCAGAGGATAGAAATATATAAAGGCATCCCTGACATGTGAATGCACAGATTACCTCAACTTACATAGAGCTTTTGATTTCAGAGTAGCTGCATTCTGGGAAAGAGTTAAAAACAGAAAGGCAATTTTTAGGGCATGTAAATGTCACTGAAGATGCCTAAGCAAGACCTTAAGTCAAAAGGATTTTCAGTGGACATTTTCAGCACTTGGGAACCTCTTGGTAGCTCAAGTTTTGGCTCTGCAAAAGTGTGTAAAGTCATCAACTGTGATGATCCATGACTCCAGCTACTTAAATCTATTTCAATACCTAGGTTCCTATCACTCACCTACAGCTGTTTTGGATTAATAAAGGAGGTATCCTTGTATGTACAAATCCAGAGGAGTTTTCAGGCAGGAGTGCTATCAGGATTTTATTTCTAAGCATGGAATGGCAAGAACCTACACAATATTTTCGTGATTCAGCAAGCAGAAGGCTTCCTTGTAAGGTATCTAACTTCTCCATTCCCCACTCCCACCTTGTGTGCCTTGAGGCATGCACCATTTTTCACACTTCAACTGCACCAGCCATGCAGATAAGAAGCAAGAAACTGGGATTAAAGATAGAGGGTGCCTAACCCTAAAGCCTGCTGGCTAGCCAGAATGAGAGGCCCTGTGTCTCCCAGAGTTTTGTAGTGTATCTTCCTATATGTTGTACAAATAAGCTTTCCTTAAAAAAAAAAAAAAAAAAAAGCAGAAATGACCAGAGGGATGTTCACTACAGCACTTGACCTCCCAGCCTTTCTATGGAGCTCCCTTCCAAGTGGCTCTGTGTGTCCATGCTCCACTCAATTGTGGGTTTCCTTAGCAGCAGGAGAAACAAGAAGTCTGATCTTTAGTAATTTTAGCTAGGTCCCAGACACCTAGTTTCTCTGAAGAAGTTCCTTCCTGCAGAATGGAAGCAGCATTGCCACTGTGTTCTGTGTGTTGGCGCTGTAGTTGAGCTGATTTTATCCAAAGGGATGAATTGAGTCCAGAAGTCCATAAACCCGCCCTTATAGCTGAACTAAAGTCAAATCTATGGTTAAGAAATGCACCAAGTTCAGTCATGTTTTTGTCAAGTTTCCTTCTGTCTTCTCCACTCAGACCTTGCTTAGCTGCCCAACTCAAGGTCTGCAAATGCTACTCTGAGAGTCAGAGATTCAGGGGGTAGAGATAGCAGTGCTACCTGCATGTTTCTCTTTTATATATTACTGGTATTGCTTGTATGTCCTGGTCCATAAAAGAACTTATTCCTCTAAGTTATGATTTCACAATTTTTACAAAGTGTTTCTGATTCAGGACAGGTAGAATCTAAACTAACAAACTTGAAAAGCACCTCCAGAGGAAGAAAACCCTACAAACCCTTTCCCCCATTTTCTCATGTTTGCAGCTTTTATGCTTGGCAGCTTATAATGAATTATCTGTACTGAAATTGTACAAAGCTTTATGAAACTTGAGTTCTGTTTGTATTTCCTTATTGTGCCAGAGAAATTATATGACTTCCTTTTATGAAAACAGTGGTACATTATTAAAACAGGGTAGGATTTTTCTTCTGTACCGATACCGATACTGAATTAGCAATGAAATACAGTACTGTACCTGAAAGTCAACAAATAAACCCAGCTCCACCAAAGGAGGAAGTGCTCTGCAGAGTTTTTAAACAAAAGTCTAGCGCCAGATCTCAGTCCTACAGCAAGTTATATTGACATATCGTAAATCTAAATTAAAACATGATATTAAGGGAAAGAGTTATCATACAAACTCAGGTCTTAAATTGCACTGTGAACCACATGGTTGTCACATGATATTTAATTGAGGGCAAAATTAGTACCCATGTGTTGTGGTCTTATGCCACAGAGGTGCATGGAGTCGGGCAACAGAGGTGTGAAATCTGCTTCTGCATCACAGAGTTGTGGGGGATTAGGGTCTCTGAAACTGGCTGATGGGTGATATGAACTGCTGGCAATCCTTGGGGACAGAGAAAATGTAGAAACCTGAAAAGAAGGTGAAGAATCTTGTCTTCCAAGGGAGGACCATGAGAAACAGCTTTAATGGAGGAATTACTGTGAGGTGCAAATTCAGCATTTCATCTTTAAGAAGATTTAATCAATGAATTGTCTGGGGGAACTGGACAGAGACAAGCACTGTAAAACAAGGATTAATGGGATGTCAGAAATGGCATGGGAAGGGACTAGACATACATAATGAAAAAGAGAAATCTGTGCATTTTGGCCAGTGTATGTTTGACAGATATGCTCAAAATTGACTCCTGAATTCCTTTAATATTGTAGAAGTTGTAGAACATTGTATAATTACCCATCAGAAGTCGGGAGCAAAACATTCAGTTTCTAATTATGTGTTTATATTAGGACTAGAGAAAAATAATAAAATACTAAGAGAATAAGTGCATAGGTGGAGTCAAATCTCCCTCCTTTGCTTCATTCCTAATCTTCTTGTTGATGAAATCAGTGACCCAGGACTTCAGAGAGTGTAAAGTTGTAGAGCACCTAGAAGTTAATAGAGTGCTCTCAGATTTTGCAGTCTGGCTCCTAAACTTGTAACGTCTATTTTTGGTTTTCTTTCCTAGCAATTAGTAAATAGTACTGGAAGAAAATTTCCTTCTGTGCCATTAGTTGCTGTTAATGGCTTTGCTGGCCATCAGCCAAGAAGCAATGCTGCAGATGCCTATATAAAATATGTTCCAAAATATAATGTTGCACATTTTATTCTTTTTTAATAGTTATTTCTTACATGTGGACAAAAAATTCTCCTGAAAAAAACCACATTGCTTGTATTTTAAAGAGCAATAACTACAGCAGTATTTTATTACAAGTAACTTAATCTATGTCTATAGGCTTTCGGGCCTCACCATAAAGAAGGCTGAAATGGTTTAGGGCATGAATCTAAATCAGGGTGTGGGCATTCTTAAACTCTCTAACCTGGGTCACATCCAGGAACCTTGTGCTGATAATTTACAAAGGTAAATTAATTCAAGACCTCCTTTCTCTCTCTCTCTCTTTTTTTTTTTTTTTTTTTTTTTTTTTTTTTTTTTTTTTTTACTGATACAGTGCTATTTACCAAGGAATTTAAATTCCACACTGATTTAAGGGGAACTGGCGCAGGAAACTCATGCCCAGAGGGTGAAAAATATTTTTCAAAATCCTGAGAGGAAATAAGAGCTCAGAAAATTAAGACTATTTCCTTGGGCAGGAGGATACAGCAAGACAGGTGAGCCTCAGGAAGGAATAATAATGAATAACCTTTACCTTTCACAGTAGAGAAAATAGGAGATGCACCATGTTGTGGTTTAAGCCCAGCTGGCAATTCAGCCCCATGCAGTCACTCATTCACTTCCCTGCGGTAGAATGAGGGAGAGAACTGGAGGAAAACCTTGTGGGTTGAGATAAAGACAGTTTAATAAGTAAAGCAAAACTCACACACACAAGCAAAACAAAATAAGAAATTCATTCACCACCGCTTATGGACAGGCAGGTGTTCAGACCCCTCCAGGAAAACCAGGCTCCCATAGTTGTAGCAGTGACTTGTGAAGACAAACACCATCTCTGACTGTCCTCCTCTTCCTTCCTATTTCCCCAACTTTTATTGCTGAGCATGACACCACATAGTGTGGGATATCCCTTGGTCAGTTGGTCAGCTGTCCTGTCTTGACATCCCCAGCCTGTTCAGTGCTGGGGTGGGATGAGAGGCAGAGCAGGTATGTGTTCTGTGTACACAGAACTCTGTGTAAGCATAGTTCAGCAATAACATAAATATCCAGTTATCAACACTGTTTCCAGCACAAATCCAAAATACAGGTCCATATGAGTTACTATGAAGAAAATTAACTCTATCCCAGCCTAAACCACCTCACAGGTGAACAGAGCTTGTTAATCAATAGAAAAATAAGACAATCGTAATGAGAACATATTTTAGTAGTAAAAGCTACAACGGTCAAACAGAATATTGCAGAAAAAGGGAGGGATTTATTGAGGTCAGTAATATATTGTGAGCAGCTGGCAGTACTTTCATATTTATTGCACAGTGTAATTAACTGATAGATCTTGTTGGTCTTGCTGCAGCTATTGCTTTTCAATTAATATCCCTGGTGATTAAGAATGTGTAGTAAAAGAAGACTCTCACTCTTAGAGAACCTAGCAAGAAGGATGCAGTAGCAAGGGGAATGCCAGCAATCAGGACAAGATATCAGCTTGTGCAGGGAGCATCCAAGCTGTGACCTCCAGAAATACAAGTTAGCAGGATGCACTGGAAGAAGGCATTGCTTTGGTCTCTCTTCAGGGGACAATGGTGCCCACCCCTGTCCATCCAGGCCTGCTGCCATCTGTACAGCACACATGGGGAAAACTGCTGGTTATGGGATAATGCCAGCAAGCAGGATAGGGAAGGATGCTGTGAAAGAACCAAAAGAGTTCTGACTCACTCTAGGGCAAGACACTGGCAAAGGATGCAGAACCAGGGGCTGGGGGAGGCCACTCCTCTTGTAGCATGGCTCAAAACTCCAGTGAATGGAGCAGGCATGTGTCTGTCAAAGCCAGAGAGAAGAAGCTGCAACAGATGGAAAAGAGCAAATGTCCTGGCAGGAATTCTAGGTGGATTGATTTAGTGCTGTGCGTGTGCCAAGGAAG